AAAAAAATTAATGAGAGCTGATGGCTAGGAAGTCACTTTATGAACCATAAAGCACTAACAGTTATTAGTTGCTCTTACTGTACCTGTCCTCAAAAGGATAACATTTAGTCTATGAATTCATTAGATATTTATCTAGGTCTTCTATGTGACTGTCATTGTGCTAGGTCCCAAGGATTCAAACTTCACTACTACTGGGTCCCTGCCCTCAAAGAACTCAAAACCACATAGAGGAAGAATACAGCAGATTAGCAGACAGTCATGTTTTATGATGGGATAAGTGCTGTGATGGCGACCAGCAGTGCAATGCACAGAAGGAACCTGAGGCAGGGTTTCTGGGGATGTTGATGCCTAAGATTGACCCTGTAGTGCTGTAAAGTTTTCCTAGAGGTGAGAAGGAGACAAGAGTTTAGAGAAAGGGGGTTTCTGGGCATATACAGCAACGTGTTCAGGGTCGGTTAGCTGAACACAAGTGAAAGGGAGGAGAAATGGTGAGGGATGAGGTCAGAAGACCTCACATAAAAGTTCATGAAGCCTTTGTATGCCCTGCTAAGGAGTTTTGACTTTTTCCTGATCATTACGGACAGCACGTGCAGAGTCTTAAGTCAGAGAAATCACATCATTAATTTTTTTAAAAAAGATTGCTCTGGCTGTAATGTGAAGAATGGATTAGAACAGGTCAGAGTAGAATCTAGCTGACAGTTCAGTAAACCAGGCAAGAGTGACAATACATAGCCAGTTCAGGGAGTCCTTGAACTATGTATGTATTCAGGTGACAGTGAACTGCACTGAGCAACCATCCCTTTGTTTTTGTACATACTGTCATCCGCCTCTCGTCTGTCCGTTGTTGTACTGCAGTCACTTGCGTATTGCTGTGATGCTGGAAGCTATGCCCCTGATATTTCAAATACGAGCAAGGGCACCGTGGTGGACAGGTTTCAGCAGAGCCTCCAGACTGGGACAAGGAAGGAAGAAGGAGCTGGCCATGCACTTCTGAAAACGTTGGCCAGTGGGAACATTATGGACGGAGGAGAGCATTGTCTGACGCAGCACTGGAAGGTGAGCCCCTCGGGCCAGGAGGCACTCAGAATACCACTGGGGAAGAGCTGCCTCCTCAAAGAAGAGTTGACCTCAGTGACGTGCACGGAGTAGAGCTTTTGGGACCCTCATTTGCTGATGTGATGTGACTCAAAATGAGAAGAAACAGCTGGAAACATCCATTAATAATTAGAACATGGAATATAGGAAGTACGAATGTAGGAAAATTGGGTATTGTGAAAAATGAAATGGAACATGTAAAGATCAATATCTTAGGCATTAGTGAGCTGAAATGGACTGATATTAACCATTTCAAACAAATTGAAGAGGAATGGCATTGCATTCATCAGCAAAAAGAAAGATGGAAATCAAAACAACAATGAGATGTCATCTCACCCCAGCAATAATAGGAAAGTTCAACAGGTCAGAAAATAACAAATGCTGGCAAGGTTGTGGAGAGATTGGAACTCTTGTGCACTGCTGGTGGGATTGTAAAATGGTA